AAATTATTTATCATAAATCTAAAATATAGTTTATATATTTAAAAATATTTATGAATACTAATTTTATATATAATTTATATATTTAAATATAATATTTTTTTTTATATGTGACATCTTATAAATGTTAATTATATTATATATAATAAACATACATGTGAATAGTAAAAATTAAAATATTAATAATTTTTCAACAAAAATGTTTTTAAGCATTTATTTCAATCTCTTGTTTATCTTAATTTAGACTTTTTCTTAGTTTTACATTAAATTTTAACATTTTTTTAATAATATCAACGATGAAATAATATTTTATATTATTTAAGTTATTTTTTATAAATTTAAAATATAATTTATATGTAATTAAAATATTTATTTATTTAGAATTTTAATTATAGTGTAATATATTTAAAAATATTTATTTATTATAAATAATTTTTAAAAAAAATAAACTTAACTCATTTCATTCATAATAAGAAAAGCAATACATGAAAAAATAAAATCAGAGTATTTATTATAAACAATAGTTATATGAAACAAATATTTATCATTTATGGTGTAAATGTTAAAATATTAGTTTAACTAATGCTTTAAAATCAAATTAAAGACTCAGTTGAAACACTAAATCAATTTTAGATTACTAATTAAATTGGATGGTATGTCATACATATTTTATATTTATAAAATTCATTAAAAAAAAAAAAAAAAGTCATGCCATGTTGTAAAAAAAAGTCCAAAAAAAAAACACCACACATTTAAACATAAATCCAAAAAGTTGTTCATGAATTATAAACAAATAAAACAAATTATAAACATAAATAATCATGTCACATATGTGAATTCAAACACATAACAAACATAAACAAAGCTCCCAAATAAGGTTTAAACATAATTAAACAACTAATTTTATAAACAAGTGTAGAATTTATATTTGTCTAAAGATTGAAATTACAACAGAGAAACAACAAATCATAAGGTCAACAACAAATAGACTTAGTGAGAGTTAGAATAATATATATGTTTCATCTTATAATTGGTTTTTTTTTAATACATTAATGGAAAGCAAGAAACAACAAACAAATAAACTAAAAACACAATAATCTGCCTCCAAGGTGGCAAGCACAAAACTTGGAGGGGTGGTCCCTGCATGATTCATAGGAGCCTTATCTGCACCCCAAGCTGCAACTGCAAGGCAATCAGCAACTGAATTGATGTCACGGATAAATGAAGAAGCCAATTTCAAGTTATTAAAAAAGGAGCTAGTATTGCAGATGAAAAAGGTCGCAGATACATACACATGCTGTATTAAGCTGGCACTAGATATAGCTCAAAGATAATGACTTGCAACGAACAAAGGATAATACGTTTTTGTTGACTCTAATATCTTAGTCCTTGGGTACATGCCAAACAATGGAAAGCCTCTCGAGTCTCAACATAATGATATAAATATGCTTGAACCTAGCAATATGTTAATGCATATGTTTCTCAGAACACCAGTACAGGCCAACAAAATAATACTTATTGTGACAGTTCTTCCTTAACTTTAGCATGTTTGTATCTAATCTCACAAGTAAGACAACAGATTGACATTCCAAGTTGATGAAAAAGCATGATGCATGAGGCATCCCTTTCTTGAACTACCCCACTCACTTGGTAGCTCACAGTGTGCAAGGCCAATACTTTTATGCCTGCATTAGCAGAACCACATTTATCTTTCGAAAGCCAACAAGCCGAAGAGCTACCGAGAGAAACGTAATTAGAAACACTGTATAGATAGATAATGAATTATAAGCAAGAATTAAGCTCAACGTATGGAAATAAATTCACAAGGAAAGAAAGAACAATAGTTCAAACTTGAAAGAACCTGTTTCTCATAGCTTAAAATGTTGATTTTGTTTAGTTAACCCCTAATATATACTACCTCCATCCTCAAATAAGTGCCACTTTAGGGGGGAAATGTTTCATATTACACTACCAAGAAGCATCTAATATTTATTTTTTTTCCATCTTTGGCCTTCTACCTTCAAGAAAGAATTTATTAACAACATAACTCTGAAGAGAAGAGCAATTTAATCATCCTATGGTGACTTCTTTTTTCCTAGCATTTAGAATAACCATGGCTCCTTAATCTTGATAAAAGAAAGTCTGAAAACAATGACAGGACACGCAAAACATAGAAATACAATTATTCTCGGTCTTTCTTTACCATGTCTCTACTAAGTTCATATCCAAATAGTCAAGTCAACCAGTTTAGGTGAATGCCATTGAAACCAAATTAACGACTAAAATGTTTCTTCTTCAGTTCCAAATATTCATCGAAAACAAAGCAACAAGAAAAGCAATGGTTCTTGAAGCAACGAGATGAATAGTTAGAATGTAGTGAACTGTGGATTGGATTTGATCACCTTAATGATAAAGAACTGTGGTGGTGTAATTTAAGTGTCATGTGTAAGGAGCACATTGAAAACGACGAGAGAAGTGGTGAGGGGAAAAAAGAAGAGAGAAAGATTTGAAGAAAGAAATGAAAGATCAGTGCGACATATAGCACGACTTGGCTTTATCCGTATTAATAGTTCCACGAATTTCGTCATTTTTAGTTATATGTTTGTTATATATAATTAAAATTTATAATAAATTTTTATATAAATAAATATTATATTTGAATATATAAATTATATTGAAAATTAATACATATCAATATTTATATATATATA